ATCTAGCCAACTCAGGACCACTCTAGGCGGCTAACATCAGGTAATAAAAGTATACATACATACAACAACGTAAATAATAAAAACTTTACAAAAATAGAAACCAAGTGGAGCGGAAAAGAAAAGAAACATCAAGAATTGTCTGGAGGAAAAGCCTGCCGAAACATCCATGTCTTCAATTGCTTCTTAAAGATACCCAGTGAGGGAGCCCCGCGAATCACAGGAGGTAGATTGTTCCAGAGGCGAGGAGCCACCACTGAGAAGGCTCAATTTCTTGTCTTCTCCTTCCGGGCCTCCCTCGGCGTTAGGCTCCTCAGCCTCACCTCCTGGCTCCCTCGAGTGACACGGGTAGAACTTGGTGGGAGTAGGCGTTCCGCCAGATATCGAGGCCCTAAACCGTTTAGGCTTTATACATAAGCGTCAACACTTTGAAGTTGATGCGGAATCGGATGGGCAGCCAATGCAAGGTGGCCAGAGTGGGCGAGATATGTTGGAATTTTCTCACTCCACTGAGTAATCTGGCCGCCGCATTCTGCACCACCTGTAGTTTCCACAGCAGCCTCAAAGGAAGCCCCACGTAGAGCACATTACAGAGTTCTGAGTCCTGTCCTCTGAAGATGCCGGCCACAGAGACTGGAAGAAAAAAAGACTGGTGCACTAGGAAGAAAAATCCTAAGAACACGGCCAAACAGCCTGGAAAACCCACAACAACCATCAGATCCCATCCGTGAAAGCCTTCAAAAATACATTGAAATTGATTAGTTTGAAATGTGGGGTAGTAGGAGAGCTTAGCAGATACTCAGGCATACTCAGGGCTGCCAGAAACATCAACAAGTGGGTAGTAGACAAAATCCAGCCTGAACTATCTCTGGAGACGAAAGTATTGAGGCTGAGGCAGTCCTACTTTGAGCACCTCATGAGGATTCTTTGGAAAAGACAATAATTCAGGGAAAAGTGGAAGGCAGCAGGAAAAGAGAAGGACTGACTCCCTAAAAGAAGCCCCAGGCTTGCAGGGCAGTTGAGGACAGGAGCCCTTGGGGAGAAAGATGTGGTAAAAATATTTTAAATAAATAAATCATTTTGGAGAGTAGGGTTGCCGTGACTCTGAGGCAGATGAGCAGCCCATAACAGCCACGCCGGAGTAGCTCTGTCAAGCTGAAGGCCACCATGGAGGGTCAACCATGGCCCAGGAAGGCCAGAAGCCTCTCAGCCGCAGGCCCTCCGAGCTGCCCAACTCCGTCAGAGGCTGAGGGCAGCCTGCCCTGTGCCTGGCCTGATAGTGAAGGATCTACCCGAATCACTCGACATAGCCAGCAGGGACGGCTGAGGGGCCTAACGCCGAGAGAGGCCCGGAAGGAAAGAACAAGAAACCGGGCCTTCTCGGCAGTGGCCCCTCGGCTATGGAACAGACTCCCAAATGAAATCCATCTGGCACTCTCGCTGGGTGTTTTCAAAAGCCATTAAAAAACTTGGCTCTTTAGGCAGGCCTTTCCTCCAGTCAATTAACTGATCTTTATCTTCTGTTTCCTGAGCTATTTCATCTTGGCAATGTTTTTAGAAATAAGTGTTAAAGTTTGAGTTTTCGAAGGATTTTATTATATTTGTTAAACTGTTGTGTTTTTATTATGTATGTAAGCCATTCCGAGTAGACTTTGTCTAGGGGGGGCGGGGTAAAAGTCTAATAAAAGTCAAGTAAAATAAAAGGAGGCTTAGAGGGGCTTTGACGGGCAGCCTGTCTGGCAGAGCCCCTCCCGAAGGAAGCGATGGGGCAGCTTGGCTGCCCCCTCTATCTATTGGGGACATCCCCTGGTCCTTTGTGGATGGACGGACAGACGAACAGACGGACAGACATTTACCTGCGTAGAAGAGAACCCACCCGTGGGATTCTGTTGCTTGCTCAGCCACTGGACCGTGTGGGCGGCTTTCGTCAGATCCTCCTGGGCCGGGGCCGGCTGTTTGGTCAACCTCGCGAGAAGCACATAGGAGGTCATCTCCACCTCAGCCGAAGGAGCGCGGGGACGATAGAAGGCAAAGTCAGGCTGGTCGTCTTCCTTCCCAGGCCTCTGCCAGTGAATGGAGCCATCATCTTCGGAGGCAGAAAGGAACCGTCAGTCCGTGGCTCAGCCCAAGCCCGGAGCGGGGCCGGCTCTCCCATGAGGCACAGTGAGGCGGTGGCTTCATGTGGCAGAAACCACCACTACCCCTCGGGAAGGCCTCTACCGCTTCGGACAAGCCCTGCTGCAGCAGGCAGAGCTTTCCAGAACCCAAACTGGGAAAAAGTGACTTATCAGCAACAGGGGGAGCTGGCTGTAACTCGTTATTTTGGGGGAATAATGAAGTTACTCTC